TGATGATAGCGGAACCTCTTCCCCTTCAGCCTGGATGAACAAATCCAACACAGGGATATTCTTAGCCGACATATTGAGCTCTTGTACCGTTGCAATAGCATCACCCAAAGACAGATCATTCAGGAGGCACATCTCTCCGAACTCATCTACATAATAGACACGGTAGTCTTTGCCCTTCAACTGAGTCCAAGACTGCTCAATATAGTCTTTGATCTGGTACATATCGGCCAGTTTCTCGGAGTCAACCCTAACTCGCATGGTCTGGGTTCTGGTACGGAGTTTGAGAACTAGATTGTTAGACATATTTCAAAAGTGTTAATGAAAGAAAATTCAACTGAGACTTGAAAATAACCATCGAGTAATTATTGACATTAGCAAGTCGACAAATTCAAATAAACTCCACCAGACACATTCAATGCTGTCTTAGCTGAGATGGCTGAGGTTGACTTCACAAAGTAGGTAGACAGCGCAAGATCCTCTCAATGGGGGCAGCTTGCATTTAATAGGCCTCCCCACTCGTCTGCTGCCTAGGCTCCTCAATCCGTCTCATTCCTATATCCTATTCTTCATTCTATTGATGGGAAATGCCCAGTCGATATGATACTCTCGAGCTGTCACATACGCTGACGATCGCATTGAGAGCCACCAGTTGTGTCTTATTGTGACATATGTCACTGTCGGTACGCTATAAAAGAGCTGCTCAATAAAACATGATTAGTTCCTTAATAAGGTCTGTACATCCGTCAACGATAATGAGTTCTCAGACGCATTGAATAACTGTGTGTAGCTCTTTGTTTGATGGTAGTTTAATAGAATTATTTCATCGTATATTCATGTCATCAAGTGTGTTATGCCTCGAACTCCACTCCGACTCGGAGACTATCCGTGTGAGAGTGGACCCTGAAAGTTGTCAATCTTATGACCAACTCTGCAGCTATGTTGAGAAGGCTTGGCGTGAGCTCCAATTCCGTGACTATCGTTTGTTCTATATGGACGATAGTGACGAGCTCTGTCTCCTCAATGATCTCTCTCTATCTGACGCTCTAGCTCTCGCTGACGCCCAGGGGAAAGCCACCAAGTCTGTTCCTGTTATCGACATTTTTGTTGACGCTTACAATGAAGAGGCGCCGAGTTTTACTCCTCTGGATTCGGAAGCGCTCGCGGTTGCTGATCTGCTTGATGGTTTGGACTATGTTATTGACCCACTATCTGCCTTGCGTCTGGTTGATTGCTTGGCAGCAGCCGACCAGGATATGGGTAAAGTTGCCGACTCGCTGAAGACGAAGAAGGCTACCAAGGAGGTCCATGAGAATGTCACTGGCTCGAAGAATGTCAATAAGAGTTCTGAAGGAGTTCTTGATTCGAAGCCCACCAGCAAGGTTCCTGAGAAGACTACTTCGGAAAAGTCGGTAGCCGTGGAGAGTAAGGGTGGTAACAAGCAGGTTGTCGAGGCGAAGCCTCAGGTGACGGTCAACTGTGAGAAGATGGTTCAGCGTTCGGGCGATGAGCCTGAAGTTGTACGCATGCAGAAAGAGGTCTCCTCTGAGAAGGAAGCTAAGGATGCTATGGTCGACTTCCTGAGCAAGTCTGGTTTCGTCACTGGCAAGAAGGCTGGTAAGGAATTGGTCAACAGCATGTTCCAGGACATGTCGAGCATTAGGGAGGTAGCAGACAGGCTTATGGGATACGAAGAGGCTGATGATAAGAAGGATGCAAAACAGGTTGAAGATGAGGCGAAGGAACTCCAGGGCGTTACGACTGATCCGCTGGCAAGGAGCTTTGTCGACATGTTGAGTGACTATGGCCTTATACAGAATAAGGC